ATACCTCCTGCACCTCCTTTTTTTTAAATCTTGTTTAATTAAGAAATGATACATTTTGTCTCACTTAAGGTCAGTGACTATTAGAGTTGTGTCAGACTCATTCATACCATACATTAAAATAAAAAAAAACAATAGAAAAATTATAACAAAAGAAAAGAAATTAAAAATGAGGCAACATTAAATAAAAATATAAAATAAATAAAAACACATTCAAACTTATTTAGAACATTTACATTCAGCTGAGGGAGGTGCGAGTCCGTTCGTTTCCCTCACGGAGGGTTAATCAAGGCAAGACTAAGAGATCCCAGCGCTTCTCTCTCAGCCGCATCACTGGGATGGGGAGCCAGTGGAGACTGAGAGAGGGCACTACAGCCACATACGCTCATAACTTGAGTGGAGAAGCTGGTCATTACTCTAATGACGTACTTACAAAGTATCTCGAGGCCACTGCCATTTCAAACTTCGAGGAAGATTGTAGGGATGGCTGGAGCTTTTTAAGGATTGTGCTAAGGGATTAGGATGGTGGATTAGGCTCCAATGAAAATTTTAGAATCAGGAATAACGTCAAGGACATGATGTAAAGTTTCCTACACGTAATGGGTGTTTGAATTAAATCACATCAAAATTCACATTGAATTGGCTCAATTCGAACACCAAGCAGGTGTAGCAGCCCTGATGAAGGCCTACGAAGTAAATCGAAACGTTTTCATCACTTTTTGGATAGTTATAGAACACCGATTATCTTCTTAAATTAAAATATTTATTATATTAAAATATATTCTCTTTTATTTTCAGAAGATAATCGATGTTCTATAACTATCCAATAAACATCACTCAAATATATTATGTGGATGACTGCTGACTGCTCTATCAAACTAACTTCTCCTTAAATTAGAACTAAAATAAAATTAAAAGAAAAACTTATAAAATGTATCTTTAAGGATTGAAAAGCCCTTATAATTTTACTATTTATTCCAGTTATAACAACGCTTCGATCTACTTTGTTCATGTTCAATTAATCTAAATCCAGACAAAAATTTTATACATTACAAAATATCTCTAATATAAAATTGTTATAGTCCACAAATACTAAAACCTGCATTCTTCAATGCACTTTTTTTTTTTTTTTTGCACTTTTCGTCTAATGGATGTTGATTTCCGAAACCCGGAACTATGTCCTCCTTAACTTGTGATATCCCGTGACAGCCGTGGAACATAAGAAGCTTTCTGCAGAAATTATAATTTATCACGAAAAAGGATATATTTTAGGGCTTCCTGATAGTTTTATTGGAACTATAGCAGAGCTTGATGTATCCTTAAAAATCTTTAAGCTCAGCTTGTCTCATCTCGATTCGTCGTCATTTGAAACCATTTGAGTTTTTAAAACTCTCTTTGTTTTCAATCACTGTTTTCAAATATTTAAGATTTGCAATTGGGATTCGTCACTTCTTCATGAAATATCCTTTCCTTTGAGACGTCATTCATCAAAATCTATCGCTTCTGAGATCCGAAAAAGAATCTATATTGTCATATTATATATAGTGTTATTCAATTTATTTTATTTGTTAGTTATTTCATTCAATTAATTATTATTTATTAAATAATTATTTCTGTACAATTTATAACAGACTTGACACTTTGTCAAATTATTAGATTTGAAATGACTAATGATTCTAAGTGTTATATAAATTGAAACTTTCCTTTTTAATTTCTAAAAAGCACTTGAAAATATTACTAAAGAAAAAAAAATCTCGTGCGCGCATCAAATAACTTTCACTTACCGCTCTGGTTTTACAGAAATTAGTGTCTCGCGAAATCAGGCTCTTAAAAATATTTTTTGAAGTATATTTTTAATGGACCTAAACCCATAAATTTTTTAACATATTTGTGAATTTCGATCGATAAACCTCCTTCTATAGTTAAAGTGCCCTTGAAAAACGTACTACTGGGAGTAACTAAATATATCTAAAAGAAGAAATATTTGGCAACCAAAAAATGGACAAAAGGCTCGATGCCGATACCAGCAATTGCTGTCAACATTAGAACTACGTTCGATTATTTCCATACCATTATTTGTATTATCCCATTATCAAAACATAATCGTAATAATGGTCGCCTTAACGTTTATATACGCGAGCTTAGATAGATAACCATGTAAAAACCTCACGTATCCACTTTATCAACCTAACATATGTTTTATTAATAAATAATAAAAATCAAAACCTCCTAAAGCTGTCATATTCCTTACATACATATACAATAGTATCCTACGAACCACCCACTTTCCTCTTTTGTGGAAACATTACACTATTATCCTGTTTCCGAAACCAGGCAAACCTCCCAACACCTCAACGTCCTACTGACCAATTAGCCTTCTTCCGATTCTCTCAAAAATCTTTGAAAAGATCCTCCTGAAACGCATCCTACCCTTTATAGAATCCCAAACTCTTCCTTCCCATCAGTTCGGATTTCGTTCACAACACTCTACAGTCCAACAAGGACTCCGAGTGGTTGATCACATTTCCGCTGCATTGGAAAGCAAGCAATATTGCTCGGGTGCATTTCTGGACATAGCTCAAGCTTTCGACCGGGTATGGCACGCAGGGCTTCTTTCCAAGCTGAAAAACTATCTTCCTCAGTCCTTGTACCTTGTTCTCCGTTCCTACCTCTCAGATCGTACCTTCCGAGTTCGTTGCGGTACTGAATTTTCGCATTGCTATCCAATTGAGGCAGGTGTTCCTCAAGGTAGCGTATTGGGTCCCGTCCTTTACATCCTCTTTACCGCCGATATCCCTGTCCATCCCGATACCTTCCTGGCAACTTTTGCTGATGACACCGCCATTCTATCATCCGACTCAGATCCTGATATAGCATCCTCAAACCTTCAAAGACACCTCTCTCTGATTGAGCACTGGTGTAATAAATGGCGTATTAAAGTAAACGAATCCAAATGCCAACACATCACCTTCACGCTCCGACGCAGTTCCTGTCCACCAGTACACTTTAATTCCATCCAGCTTCCTTTCTCAGACACAGTCCGGTACCTTGGCTTTCCCTTAGACAGACGACTAACGTGGAACCCTCATACTAGACTTAAAAGACAGGAACTAAACCGACGATATGACCAACTATACCGGCTACTAAACAGGAAATCTAAACTTTCCATTGAAAACAAGTTACTGATCTACAAGACAATATTGAAACCTATCTGGACTTACGGACTTGAACTGTGGGGAACTGCAAAATTTTCTAACATCAAACGCATCCAATCCTTTCAATCCAAAGTCCTTCGAACAATAGTCGATGCTCCTTTCTATGTAACCAACAAAACCCTACACCATGACCTTAATATCCCATTTATCCTAGACCTTATCCCATCAAAATTCTCCAAATTCCACCAGAACCTTACCCATCATCCAAATCCCTTTGCACAATCTCTATCCAGCACCACCCATCCATATAATCCTCCAAGGAGGTTAAAACGGCAGTGGCCCCGCGACCTTTTATAGTTTGTAAATATTGGAGTTCTGGCAATGGCCAGATTCTCCACTCACGACATGAGTGTATGTGGCTTAAGCACTCTTACTCAATCTCCACTGGGTTTAGCCCCAGTGACGCGGTTGAGAGAGAAGTGCTGGGATCTCCTGGAGCCATGCTTTTCCCTCCACACTTGGAGAGACAAGTCTGGTTTGGAGTTCCCTCCCCAAATTGTAAATATTGTATATAGGTATGTATGTGTTCTTTTTATTTATTTATTTTTAGGTTATTTTATTCTTATTTATTGTATATATGTTATTTTTCTGTATAATTTATTTTATTTACTGTACATAGAGTGTGAATGTGATCTGTTAACACTATTATAAATGTCCTTGAGACAGATTGTAATATTTTTCAATAAAAAAAAAAAAAAAAAAAATCAAAACATTTATTATTGATGTATGCAATTTAGACAAACAGACAATAAAAGCCCAATGAAATATCCAAATAAACAGTAGACTATAGTTAATGAATAAAACTTAATCTAAGAGTAACTATTTACAACTAAACAACAAGAACTTACGGACTAACCTAAAGCTGATATTAAATTTTCTAACTAATATAAATCTGAATTACGTACAAAAATACCAAAGACTTCATCCATATAAGTCTGCTTCTTCCAGCAGTTACAGAATTTATAAAGCATATGTTCATAACCTTAAATACATTTACTGCAGTTTAATATTTCTAGATATGATATTATTTTAAATAATTAGATATCAACGTCCGCTTATCCCAAAAAATCATCAAGTAAACTTTTAGTAAATAAAGTGAATAATTTGATGAATTTTCCCTTTGTAAAATCCAAACCTTAACCGCTTAAAGTGAAACTTTTGACCTATCTATGGCAGGCAATTAAAATCTCGTAATTTCATTTTAGTAAACAAATACAATGGAGTACTGAGGTTTTTGTTGCCTACCATTGATATAAATAACAGTTTTTTTTCTATTTTAGTTGTCGTAATGATTTGTTAGGTGTAAGTTTTAAGCTATAGCTCTGTTAAAAATGAACTTAAAAATTTTGTAATTGCTCAACATTACCAGAAAATAATTTCTATTCAAAGCAGAGAGGTAAGTGAAAGTTGTGTGTTGTGCGTTCCAGACATATATATATATATATATATATATATATTATATATATATATATATATATTATATATATATATATATATATATGTATAACTTTATATAGAGAGAGAGAGAGAAAAGAGAGCACTAACGTTTCCTCCAACGCACGTAGGTATCTTCACCTATTTCAGTCACCCTTTCAATCTCCTAAAAACATCAGACTCTCTCTCTCTCTCTCTCTCTCTCTCTCTCTCTCTCTCTTTCTTTACACTGCCTTAATGAGCATTCACTGCCACATAAATTAACTCTTTTGTTCTGTACACTACATAATAATTGTTAATTTTATCAATATTTATATAATTGAATTATTTAAACCTTTCCATTGTCTTTTTCAGATTGTATGCTAGTGACGAGCGAACCTGGGCATTACTTCTACAAAGCTCCCGGGGACGACCCTACGGTATGCGGGGTCTACCTCATGACAGACCCCGACAAACTTATCGAACTCCAGTTCGACTACCTGGACCTGCCGTGTAGTTCTGGAGGATTGGTAGCGGTGAGAACATTTGGAAATTTATACGACTTTATTAATTTTAGTTTGTAAACATTATTAGAGTGAGTGACATCTTGAGCAGAACTCTCAGGTTCAAATATGGTATGGAACATATCGAACATGGTGTGGGACAGATTGTTACAGTTATTAGGACTCGCAGTTATTATAGGAAGATCCAGGACAACTGTAATTCGTTGTTTTGACATTTTGGGAGTGTAGTTCATGGCAGATGGCCCAATATTTTTGAAGGCCACCTTTTTCTCTCTTTTGTAATTTTGTGCTAAAATTATGTGTCGATCCAAATGAAAATTAAATGGGTAATTACGAGTTTTTTTAGTACCTAATTAAATCGACAAGTTTAGCGATCTTCAGATTTAAAATGCCCCAATTCCAAGATTTTTTTTGGTTGTTGCGAAAGACACTTGGTGACCGGTTCTCTTCATAAAGCGCCCTTCATGCCGATACTGCAGTTGTTAATTATGTTAAACCCTGATAAAAAGGTTTTTCTTTATCAGGCTGTAACATAATTAACAACTATAACATACACTTGAAGGTCGCTTTATTTATAATACCGCTCATCAAGTTCCTCTAGCTAGAGTCAATATATTTGTTATCTATTCACCTCACAAGTCTGTCAGGAAATAAAATTCAATCAGGTTCACCTTGAATCGGCGCAATTTCAAAAATGCCATGGAACTGCCTAGAAGAGTATGGTAGCTCAGTGGTGGGGTTCTGAGCTTGCAATGCTAAAGGTCCCAGATTCGAATCCCGATTCATGGCAGAAAAAATATTTATTCTGTTTCATCGGCCATGGAACGACCCTGAGTAGGTAGGCCCTCCTGAGGACACACCCAGCCTCTATAGTGGGCTCCCTTAATTAAATAATAAAATAATTAATTAAGGGTAAAACCCTGGCGGTTGAGCGTGACCTCGGTTAAATCACCTCCTTGCATAACCGTTTTCTAAGAAATAGTACTTTCCCTAAATAGTACTGAACCCAAGACCCTTCATGGATTGTAGGGTACAGTTTTTTTTTTTCTTTTTTTCTCCAAGGTAAACTTTGTTATTGCAGATAATTCTTATTTCGTTATTTACTTTAATGTTCTATTCACCACTATTCTGATATATAATTTATCTTTTATAATATTTTGGATTATTACTAAGATTGTAAACACTGTCTACCTACCGGAGGATCCTCTCCTGTTTTACAAATTACATAGATTAAAAAGAAGTATGAAAGACAGAAATTATTAAAAGAAAGAATAGTTCAAAACATCCTCAAAATTAAAAAAAAAAATGCTACCTGAATGATGGAATTAGGGCGCAGTATCTGCAAACCTGCATGGCCGTCGTGTTCTGCCTGGCCATTGCGCCTTATATTTATGTCTGTCTTATCGCGATGCCGTGTTAGAGAGGCGTAAAGGAAAAATAGTTTTGAAAACCAAATGATAACGAGTTTTATTGAAGATATGGATTAAGATATCTTAGAAAACTAAAATTCGGACTTGCATACTGTCAGCGAGAGAGATGTTCAGCATTTCTTCTTTTTTATAATGGGCTATTATTTATTATTTATATTTCATATTATTAATCTCGCCTTAATGATGTTATGTCTTCACTTCCATCGTATGGTCGAAAGCACACAACTCAGTTTTTAAAAACGAATTCTTTATATATATATATATATATATATATATATATATATATATATGTGTGTGTGTTAATATAACCTTCATTACAATAATAATAATAATAAATTTATTGAAATGAAATTACAATTTACAAAATGTACATAGAAATCGGTCACGTTTTGAAACATTTCACACAAAAGGTTATCTTAAATTTATAAACTTTAGTAAGATTCTTTGTTATTTGATACTAGTAAAAAATAATTTAAATAAAATTAGTACATAAATAAAGTCAATAATAATAACAGGATAAAACTATATGCATTTAAATAAAGAATATAGTTTATGTTACTTATGTTAAGTAATGTAATATTTCGTGCAGTTTCATTATTGTCAGTTTTTATTCAAGTAAAATATGTTTTCTGTGTTTGTAAAATATGTTTCTTTTATATATATATATTTCTTTATTGAAATTTATTACAATCTGTCACATTCAAGGACTATGGTAATAGTGATAAAGAGTAGCTCATTCATACTATGCACAATATATAAAAATATAAACAGCAATAAAATAATACTAAACGTAAATGTTTCTTCTTAAACTTTGCTTATTGCAATGGCCTATTGTCTTAATTGAAGTGTTTGCTGAGTTGAAAAATTTCTTGTTCTGGGAGGATATGAATTGTTTAACTGTCTGCAATTCCAAATCGTTTAACATGTTGGTTATTTTTGTGTATCTGTGCTAATCCTTTATGATTCTCAAACATATATTTTGTACCCTTTCTATTTTTTTATGATTTGAGTCACATAGGTAACTCCGTAGTGCACAAGCACATTTTATTAAAGGGCATATAACCGATTCATATAAAACAATTTGTTTTTTTTATTGAGAGAGAAGATTTTTTTCAAAAGTAGCGAGTCATTGTACTGAAAATTTCATCCACTTAATAATGAGGTATTATTTGTAATTTATATTTCATATTATTAATCTCGACTTGTGGATGTTTTCACTTCTGTCGTCCAAACTACACACTTTAGTTGTTTTTTTTTAATCTTTTAGTGTTTCTTTACCATTATAGTTAATATGGTTAAAAATTAATTACTTTTAAATGTACGATTTTTTTGTCAATATATATGTGCAATAATTATTAATTGCATGTGTAGTTTTTTGTTTTTTAAATAATACGAATACTTTTCCAAACGATTAAACTGAGACCTGTCATTAATCTTATTATCCCTCCAACAGCTCTCCCACTCAATGGCTGATCTTAAGTTAAAGGCAAGTTCCTCCTGAGAACACGGAATTTATTCAGTCGCGAAACTTTGGCCAAAATGTCTGCCGTTTGCTCTGGAGTCAACTTGCACTAATTTTATTGTCTCTTATCCTACCTTTACTTTCACATAATGTAAATTTACACCAAAGTCATTTGTATGGTTTGTAAAATTTATACTAGTGATATATACAGTTTATATACAGTGTTTTGTGTATATATATATATATATATATATATATATATATATATATATATATATATATATCCGCTATTTTTCTGATTCCCCAGCGGCCGTTATTTGGCCGAATAAGCTGAAATTTGGTAAATAGAGTTGGCTCCCAGGCGGAGTAATACCGTTAATCTTTTGACAAATTTCCGCAGTGAAACAGTTTTTCACGTTTTTTTCTGTTTTTAAATTACTGCGCATCTCCACAGCTCCTCCTGCTAAAGTTGGAAGATTGTAATTTTTTATCTATATTAAGTTGGTGTTAAAGAGGTGCCTTTAGAGGGAGTTCGTCACCAGCCGACATTTTGTTTCAAGATGCCAGCGGAAAATTGTTTTTCTATTGACTACAGCTCTAAAAGGGCTAGAACGGTATTAGTAATAACTTTCCTAAAGTATTTCCTATGAAACACTGCAAATTTATGTATAACATACTTCCTCGAAAAGGGATCTAAAAAGGAGTTCAGGATGGTGATAAATTCAAAATTACATTTTTGAATAACTCAAAAAAGGAGCATTTTCCCCTTTTTTGGGTCAGAACATGTTTTGAAGACATTTAAATTTCCTAAACGCTAAAAAAAATCCTTCTTGTAATTAAAAGGTCCGTTATACAGTTCCTTTAAGACAAAACAATGGTCAGCCAGCTTTAGAACATTTTGTAAAATTTGGAATGACATATCTTTTTACCAAATCGTCCGATTTTAATGTCTCGTTTTTTTTTTTTAATAATTTAGTCTACTTTCAAATGACCAATATCAACAAAGTTAATACTTTTTGGATTTTCCGGATGTCCAATGTTAACATCGTAATTATTTTTTCCGGCTTCTCTTGGGTGTAGTTTATTATAGACGTCAATTTAAAGTACTTCCATAGGAAAATTTAATCCATCTTTCATTAAAACCGGTTCATCGGTTTAGGTGCTGCATTTTTTTTTTTTTTTTTTTTTTTTTTTAGTCCTAATTCTTGTATGACAATTTTTATAATTATACAAATAGCTTATTAAAAAGATATACTATTAAATAAATGTTTTGTGTATAAATGTTTTCCAATGTGTTACTTAAAATTGTTCACTATACATATTGAACTTTTAAGTATTTCAATATAATAAGCAATTGAGTAACAATTTTTTTTTGTCTGTAAAAATGTATTTGCGCCTGTCAATCAGGAAATGTGATGGCGGTACATAAAATAATGACATGACAGGCATGGGGAAGGAAAGTACTCAGCAGTACCTCTTCCCTAACTTGTTCCAATTACTTAGGTTTTCTAAGGAAGGAGATCTCTCATCCAACGCCTTTTTAGTCTCCTGCTCATGTTCTGAGGTATGTCAGCCGTGGCCATGTCTCTTATTATGTCCGTTTAAATTTGTGTAAAATCATTGATGAAGGGTCGTTATATGTTGGTCAACTGTCGGAAAGTGGAGGTCAGTATGTAGAGTTTTGTTAGTCACGTACCAAGGTGCTTTTGTTATGAGTCGCAATAATTTTGATTGGAACGTTTGAAGTTTTTGTAGGTGGGTCTTTTTAGCGATACCGCGATATATTTGTGATGAGTATGTCTATATGGGCTTAAGTAAGTATGTGTATGTATTCAATTTCTGTTTTAGTTTTGAAGATTTAGAAAGGTAGTAATTTAAAAAGCTTTTATTCCTTTATCTCGATATAGATGATAATATGTTTGAACAGGTACATAAATTTAGGTATCTAGGTTCTACGATAACTAGAAAAAACGAAACCTTAATAGAAGAGATTAAGGTTAGACTGAAGGCGGGGAATGCTTGTTATTTTTCTGTGACAAAACTACTTAGTTCTCGCCTCTTGTCCCGGAACTTAAAAATTAGAATCTATAAAACAATTATCTTGCCTACAGTTCTTATGGATGCGAAACTTGGCCGCTTACATTAAGGGATGAGCAGCGTCTTAAGGTTTTTGAAAATAAAGTATTGCGTAGAATATTCGGACCGAAGAAGGATGAGTTAACCGGAGAGTTCAGACGGTTACACAACGCCGAATTGCGTGAGCTGTATCCGGGTAATATAATTGAGGTAATTTCATCGCGGCGAATCAAATGGGCTTGTAAAGTTGTTGGGCTTAGTAACGAGAGAATTCCTAAAAGGTTAATATTTGCTGTGCCGAATGGTAAGCGTCCGAGGGGTAGACCGAAGCGAAGGTGGGAAGATTGCGTTAAAGCCGATCTGAAGGAACTGGGTTTGGATGGCGAACGGTGGAGGGAGGTGTGTAACAAGCGATTGGTGGTGTCGGCATCGAACCTTCGGGTTCGCTAAGCCTTATTATTATTATTATTCCTTTATCTAACGCAAATGAAAAAATTCAGTCCCTTTCTATTTTTTTTTAAATTAAAAAGTATTGGAAAATAGCTCTGCTGCTCTCTTAGCTTCCCTCCCTTGGATCAGTTATTGAGAAGATTAAAACCTTTGAAAACTAGAACTTTTCGTAAATTTCCACGTTATTGAATAGCCATCGGTCGGCATTTGATGGATAACATCTCTGAAGGAATTGATGAGAGTGGCGGTGTGCTAGGAAATGGCTCGGTGCAGGATCTGTTACTATTTCTCTTCTTCAGCCCAGATGCCGCTAGCTGTCAGTTGTTATAATGCCCGGATAGTGGTGGCACTGGCCGTCCATTCATCTTCCCCTAACTGGATTCTGTCGTCGTTAAGTTTCTTATGAAGCGTCCTCGTCGGGGAACATCTGTTCTAAGATTCCATCAATTTCTCATGTGGCTCTCTCTACATCAGCTGTATTTCTTTCATCCATTTCTCTAGATATCTTAGAGTACCTTTATTAATTATTTGTGAATCTCGTGATTATCAGTTATGATTGCTGGTATAATTTTAATTACAAAACACAATATCTTTGGTCAGAAAGTGGTATATCGCAACAGCCAAACACATGATCGTAAGCAGAAGAGTGTGAGGGAGAGGGGAGTGAAAGAAATTAAAACATAATATAATAATAACTGTGATAAATATTCAGGACGCAGTCTTGAAAAAAAAATTTTTTTATTCGTGCCAACGTTTCAACCCAAACGTTCAAGAGTCAGTACTTCAATAGTCTTGAACCATGCCTTGATGATGACCCACATGTTTGGTTTGAAACGTTGGCACAAATTAACATTTAAAAATTTTTTTTCAAAGGCTGTGGCTTTAAAAGGTGAGGACTAAGTCTCCTTAGAATAACAATGATGAATTAATACAAAAACAAAATACAAATCTGGCCAAAAACTAACTTAAAAACATTCTAACGTTATATACATTATTTTAAAAGTAGTATGCAACCACTAAAAAAAAAAAAAAAAAAAAAAAAAAAAAAAATTATATATCTACACAATTTATAGACACTAGGCTATCTAATTGAAAAATAACAAAATGTAATAATATCTACACTGATTTATATAATAATATGCAAACACTGAGATAAAATAAAATCACATTGTTACTTGTGGTGTAATGGGAAAAAAGGAACTATGTATATTCAAGTTAATTTATTATTAGCCATATTTACACCAATTTAAAAAAAAAAATTTGTCACTTAATGACTACTCATCAAAATGACGACGTTTCGGCTCGTCGAGCCATTTTCAAGTCTAAAAAATTTTTTCATTTACAATCATATATTAACTTTAACATATTTCAAATTATAAAGATACTTATTATGTACCTAAAATACCCATCATGTACCTGTCATTTTCACTTATGCGAATTGCAAGCGTCTACTCATAATAAAATTCCTTATTATTGTCATGTTCACCTTTAATTATTTAACACCATTATTATTACTCAATTCTTTACTATTAAATGATTCAAAATAAAATTACCTTGTTTCTGAGTCACCCATAAGTCATCCATCTCATTTCTATTCAGTGACTGGTTATTCTTATAGGAGTAGGGGAAGACTATTTATTATGAACATATATAATGCTGTTACTCAATATTACATGTGGATCTATTTTAAGTAATATTAGCTGATTTATTTCAAATTTTGATTTTTTCAATAGAACTAGCGTAAAAAGTATTCATATTATCCACGTCTGTATGATTATTTACTGAGTTTTTTAAGTTTTTAGTTATGTATATTGATTCTTTAATTCTACGTTTATTCGTATTTCTTTCATTATGTAGGATTTTGGCATTTTTGGAATCAAATTCATGTTTAGTTTGCATATTATGTTGCGAGAGTCCAGTAGCTAATTTAATTTTTGTGTTTTTTGAATTACAATTTTGTTTATGCTGTTTAAGCCTTTTTTCAAGCCATTGGGATGTCTGTCAAAAATATGCTTTGTTGTTGCAAATTTATTTTATAAATAATATTCGTTAATTTATCGATAGGTACTTTATCTTTAGTTTTCGAATAAATTGTATCTAATTTATTAATTGGTTTGCTTGCAAATTTAATTTCATTTACATCGTATTTACAGCATAAACAAAATTGTAATTCAAAAAACACAAAAATTAAATTAGCTACTGGACTCTCGCAACATAATATGCAAACTAAACATGAATTTGATTCCAAAAATGCCAAAATCGTAACGAATAACGTTGTATTAAATGATTCATTATACATTAACTAAATACTTAAAATACTCAGTAATATCATACGCGTGGATAATATGAATACTTTTTACGCTAGTTCTATTGAAAAAATCAAAATTTGAAATAAATCAGCTAATATTACTTAAAATAGATCCACATGTAATATTGAGTAACAGCATTATATATGTTCATAATAAATAGTCTTCCCCTACTCCTATAAGAATAACCAGTCACTGAATAGAAATGAGATGGATGACATATGGGTGACTCAGAAACAAGGTAATATTAACTTATTTTGAATCATTTAATAGTAAAGAATTGAGTAATAATAATGTTGTTAAATAATTAAAGGTGAACATGACAATAATAAGGAATTTTATTATGAGTAGACGCTTGCAATTCGCATAAGTGAAAATGACAGGTACATGATGGGTATTTTAGGTACATAATAAGTATCTTTATAATTTGAAATATGTTAAAGTTAATATATGATTGTAAATGAAAAATTTTTTTAGACTTGAAAATGGCTCGACGAGCCGAAACGTCGTCATTTTGATGAGTAGTCATTAAGTGACAAAATTTTTTTTTAAATTGGTGTAAATATGGCTAATAATAAATTAACTTGAAAATAAATAGTATGCACCGAAGAAGAATTGAGTAATATTGTGAACTATGTATACGTACATACTCATATTGGTACACAGAGAGACACAAAGTATAAAATATAAACATATATACATAAAAGAAAAAGCACAATCTGAGGTGAAGAGAAATACAAATAAATAGTAAAAATAATAGTCAAAAATCATTGATGTTTTATTTTAAAACTTATACAAAAGGCACCACAATTTTCTTCTCACAAATTCAGTTCATAAAATGAAATTTATGGTTGAAAATCGTCTGTGTGTGATGTAAGGAGATATTGGAAAAGTAGGTGTTTGATGGTTGACAGTGAAGAGGCATGACGGATGTTATGTGGCAAAGAATTCCAGTAGGAGACGGAGCGGGCTAAGAAGGAACGTTCATAGGTTTTTGTCCTGTGGAATGGAATATAGAGGTCAGAAACACGGGATCTAGTTTTTATTGAGTGGACTAAAGGTTTAGGCTGGAGGAGACAACAGATATAGGAAGGGTGCTGGGAGTTGATCGTTTGATATAAGAAATTTCCAAGGAAGTATAGGCGGCGGGAAGAGGGGAAGAGCCACTTTGACGTATATGTGAAAAATATAATCCCATGACACCATTAGATATCTTGTTTCTTTTTCTTTTGTTTTCCAGCTTCCTCTTCATATTATTATTTTTATTCTCTTTCCGCAGTTCGTGGACGGCTGGGAGCTGAACGGAGGATACTTCCCCAGCCCGGGCGAGCACCGACTGCCCATCGAGGACCGCGTCTCCGAGTTCTGTGGGATGACAAGGCCTAGCAGGGCCTTCATCAGCTCCCAGAACGCGGCCCTCATCCAGTACCGGGTACCCAAGAGGTCCAGGGGGTTCTCCTTCAGGGTCAATTTCCTGAAGAACCCCACTCGTGAGTATATTTTATTTTTTAAATTTCACACAATTTAAAGGTTTCTTTTGTATTAAATAAAATAATATACCAAGAACAGGAAGATGTGTATTATTCTTCCTCGTGCCTAAAATGAAAATTTCTTTACATCTGCTCATTGTCAAGATTATGACAGGTGTGGGTAGAAGTATAAGGAGTATGTAAGTATAGGATAGAGAAGTAGATAGATAGATAGTATATTGGCTATTATGTACATCATTTAGCCATGGAGTTTGGCCCATTTGGTGTTAGTAGTTGTTAGTATTGAATGGCAATGAAAGCATAAACAAAGCATAAATAAATAAAGATATAAATACGTATACATATGTAAATTCCTATTGAAAGAGAAAAAACAAAATAAAATATGTATTTATATATATATATATATATATATATATATATATATATATATATATATATATATATATATATATATATATTCCCAATAAGTAAATAGAATAAATAAACAAATAGATAATTATTTCTAAAACCCAAAACAATATAAAAAACTGTATATCTGAAAATTAATTAATGATTCAATACTATCAATAGTTATTCTCAAAGCTATATACATATAAATAAATAAGTGGTTATTCCTAAAATAATATAATATAGTCCTTACTCTAAATACCTATATATAGCCTTCAACAAAAAGATGTTATTGAGTTTGTCCGCACTATCAATATTTAGAAGATTTTCTAAGGTTAATTTTTGCTGTTTTGGACAATATTATCTCCTAGCTATTTTTCCCTATCAATGCTTAGTCTGGGGCATTGCAATAGCAGGTGTTCTATGTTTTGGGTGATATCTTCTTGAAACCATCTACATTTTCCCCCCACTTTTATAACCAAAGTGGTATTTTAATGAAAAAGTTTCTGCTTTTCCGTATTTGAAATTCTTAATTGGCTAACTAGTTTCAATTAGTTTATATGTATATGGTAAGTTAAATATTCTTGCGGCTGAGGGCTGTTAAAACTACAAACAGTTCTGTAAAGTGGATTGTATTTTGAGTTGAGAGCTTTATCAATATCTATAGATTTTTTACTTTTTCGATAATTTTTTTTTTTTAACTTTTATTGAGTATTAATACAGTCTGCCACACTGAAGGGCATTGGTACTAGTGCTATAGTATTCATTCACAGAATATGTACATAAGAAAGGAGAAAAAAAAGTATATATATATATAAATAAAAAGATAAAGTAATATACAAGATAATTAAAACAACAGACCAGCCGAGTAATAACAAAACAAATAAAACACATTCACACCTATGTACAATATTACTTGGCCCAGGGGACTCCGAATCAAGCTTTGTCCCCCAACTGTGGAAGCCAAAGAAGGACTCCAGAAGATCCCAGTGCTTCTCTCCCAGCCGCGTCACTGGTATAGTGAGCCAGTGGAGGCTGATGGAGGGCACTAGAGCAACAGACGTTCAGGACATAAGTGAAAAATCTGACCAGTGCCAGTACTCCAATATATACATTTTTACAAAAGGTCGCGGGGCCACTGCCGTTTTAACCTCCGAGGAGGATTGTAGAGATGACTGGAGGTAGATAGAGACTGTGCTACAGGATTAGGATGATGAGTGAGATTCTGGTGAATTTGGAAAATTTGTCTGGAATTAGGTCAAGTACAAATGGGATACTAAGGTCATTGTGTAGGGTTTTATTGGTTACATAAAAGGGAGCATCGACAATTGTTCGGAGAACTTTAGACTGGAAGGATTGAATGCGTTTGATATTGGAAAGTTTTTCTGTCCCCCTCAGTTCTAGTCCGTAGGTCCAGATAGGTTTCAGGATTGTCTTGTAGATTAATAGTTTGTTCTCAACTGAAAGTTGAGATTTTTTATTGAGTAGTCTATATAGTTGGCCATATCGTCGGTTAAGCTGTTGTCTTTTAAGTCTGGTATGTGGGTTCCATGTTAGTCTTTTGTCTAAAAGGAAGCCAAGGTACCGAACTGTGTCGGAGAGGGGAAGTGGTATGGAGTTGAAATAAACTGGTGGACACGACTTGCGCCGAAGGGTGAAAGTGGTGTGTTTGGATTTGGATTCATTTACTTGGATGCGCCACTTATTACACCAGTGTTCAATAAGAGAGAGGTGACTTTGTAGGTTAAAGGATGCTGTTTCGGGATCTGAATTAGAAGATAGGATGGCCGTGTCATCAGCGAATGTTGCCAGGAGAGTTTCAGGATGAGTAGGAATATCAGCGGTAAATAGAATATAAAGGATAGGACCCAAGACGCTCCCTTGAGGAACTCCTGCCTGAATTGAATAACACTTGGAAAAATCAGTTCCACAGCGGACTCGAAAGGAGCGGTTAGAGAGATAGGATCGAAGTACCAGATATAAGGACTGAGGTAGATAGGTTTTAAGCTTGAAGAGCAATCCGGTGTGCCATACCCGGTCAAATGCTTGCGCAATGTCCAGAAATGCACTCGAGCAATATTGCTTACTTTCTAGGGTTGAGGATATATGGTCAACAACTCGGAGGCCTTGTTGGACAGTGGAATGTTGGGAACGAAATCCGAATTGGTGGGTAGGAAGGTTTTGGAATTCTATAATGGGCAGGATACGTTTCAGTAGAATCTTTTCAAAGATTTTTTATAGGATGGGAAGTAGGCTTATTGGTCTATAGGAAGTTGTGTTATTAGAAGGTTTACTTGGTTTCAGAAAAAGGATGATGACAGAATGTTAGAGTATATAAGAGAGGAAAGTGAGTAGTTCGTAGGATACAATTGTATATATAAGTGAGGAATATGGTTGCTTTGGATGGAAGTTGCCGAAGGATATGCGGGATTAGAAGGTCGTATCCAGGAGATTTACGGGCAGATAGTTTTTGTAAATGATGTTTGACCTCAAAAGGATTAACTGCTTTTGGTGGTAAGGAGAGTGGAATTGGTGAAGAGAGGAATTCTTCTACTATTGCAGTGTGGGTAGGATGGGATTCCGGATGAGGAGTGAATATGCAGGAGAGGTGTTTGGCGAATTCCTCAGCTTTGTCTTCATCTGACGCCGCCCAGGAGCCATCGCTTCGTCGGAGGGGATGGGAGACATGGTGGGATTTTAGGATTTTTTTGGTGATATTTCAAAGGCAATTATCATGAGTGGAAAGAGATGTAAGGTAGGAGTTAAAGGATTGGGATCTGAAGTAGGATAATTCCTGCTTCAGTTGCTTACAGTAATAATTATAGGAACGGCGATCAGCTAGATGTCTGGTGCGTTGCCATAATGATCTGGCACGGCGTTTGATATGGATTAGGTCAATGAGATGTTGGGGTAAGTTATTTTTATTAAGGATTTTCGGGGAGTGATTTGGGGAAGAAGCAGTCCAGACTGCTTGTTGAATCATGGTGGTAAAGGAATGTACGACGGCATTGTCAAGGTCTTCTGCGGTTTTCAGGGTTATTCTGAGGTCGATTTGATCGGAAAGGATTTGCTGAAAGAGTTTCCAGTTGACTGGACCTCTGATGAAGGATGGTGGGGAGGGTTTAGGAATAGGAGCTAGTGATACTTGGAGTATTAGAGGACTGTGGTCTGAGGAAAGGTCATCAAGACGGGTAAGAGAATTTTCGATAATTATGTCTTTATTAGTAAGTAAGTAATTTGGTTTTAGGTCTTCAAGAAGGTCGTCATCAATATAATTATTTGCTGCTTTTTTTTTTTTAATTGCTATTTATATTTGCTGCTATTTTAAGGATAGAGAAGTATAGAAGTATAAAGGGAAAAAAATATTGAATAAATAATATATATAAGTAAGAATATTTTTTTCAGTGATTTATTCTCCCATTTATTTCACTCAATTACATCATTACATCATAACGTTTCGGGATCCACTTACATCCCATCTTTAGACAGTATCCCGCATCATCCTAATCTCCATAAGACTTGTCATATTATATTATTTTTTTATTATTGTTCTATTCCTTGAAATCCTATTTTAGTCTCCTCTAGGGAGAGCCTAGTCAGATATTCTGATCAGATAGTATCTGACTAGAAGATGGGAGACTGTCTGAAGATGGGATATAAGTGGATCCCGAAACGTTATGATGTAATGATGTAATTGAGTGGAATAAATCACTGGGAAAAAAAATATTCTTGCTTATATACCTCTAAAATAAGTATCTCCCTTAGGATAAATGAAGTAAATATGATATGTTATATCGGTGAATAAAAATTTAAAATGTGCTTCCTGGACCGGCTTTTGGCCGGGCTATGAAAAAGGAACTATTGTTGTTGTAGTAAGGAAAGGTATAAATAATAGACTTATTGGTAAGGAAATTTATACAATAAAATCAGGAAGCTGGATTGAATGAATGACCATACCTCACAAGAGTTCGAAACAAAATGATCATACATCATACATTGCAATATGAGTCCTCTTCTTTTTACTTTCACTTACGTATATATGTAATATATAGTAAGGGTAAGTATTGCGATCGTGGAAATTTTTGATTCTGAGTTTTCAACGAAGATACACGTTTTGAGGTACCCTGAGTCCAAATAACCTGGTCCCGAAAAACGGTTTGTGTGTCCGTGTGTCTACGTGTCTGTGTGTTTGTATGTTAGGAGTCTAGCTCAAAAACGAAAAGTCGTACGAAACTGATATTACGTATTTAAGATAGTATATGCCTTAGATGTGACAGCAATTTCTTCCTCGATTCCTGATAATCCCCCTAGGCTTCTGAAAATAAGATGGATTCGCGATCTTCCCTAGAATTAACTAGGGAGTGCTACCACTGGGCTATATCTCTTCAAGTCTGTTCATGTCATGATTTCTAATGTATGCATTTTTACTAGTTGTAAATTTCATTAAATAAATAATATTTTTTTTACTACTTATCCCCACCAACCTCCAACCAAATCAGCTATTTTCCCATATGTTTTTCTCCAACTTCTAAACTGAAACTGCATACGATTGTGTCTCTATTTTTATTTTATTTTTTTTCATTTTTCTTCACACTCTCTTTAATCCACTTATT